GGGGGGCGGCGGGCCCGCGCCCGACGCGGCGCAGGCCATAGAGGAGGAGTGGATGGCGGCGCAGCGCGGCAAGGACGGCGGCAAGGGCGGCGGCAAGGGCGCGGACAAAGGCAATCTTGACGACTTTGTCGTTGAGGACGACAAGGAGGTGGGCTTGGTTTGACTGGGGTGGACCGGGCTGTGGGGTGCTGTTTTGGCGCGCTTTGGATGCTGGTATTTCATGTTGAGTCCCAGCCTGAGCTCTGAGCACCTCTGGTGTGCTTACAGAGACGCTGCAGGCAAGGGGCTCGCCGACGCTGGCCGCAAGAGCACCTGCCTTTGCCATGGCGTGCCTCTGGCCAGCGCATTAGAAGCACCCAACCACCTGGCGTACCGAGGGCGTACCTCGTTTGCCTCCAGTCAGTGATATGCCAAAGCGCCACCGCCGCTCACCCCCAACAACCAGGATTCTGAGGATCAGGACGGCTCGGGGGACGACAGCGACGGCGGCTCGGACTACAATCCCAGCGGCAGCGGCGGCGACGACGATGAGGAGGGGGCGGACAGCGGCAGCGACAGCGACTACGGCGGTGGCCGCCGCACAGCTGGCGCCGATGGCGGCCGCAAGCGCAAGGCCAACGGCCCCGCGGCGGTCGGCGCTGCCGCGGGTGGCAGCGGCCGGCGCCGTGGGAAGCGGCGGCGCGCCAAGGCGCACGTACTCGCGGCGCTGAAGCAGCTGCTGGAAGCTGTGGGGTCGGAGGGCAGGGAGCTGGACGCGCTCAGGGAGGAGTGGCAGCGGGACATGGCTGAGGCAAAGTGAGAGGAGGGCGGAGGGGGGAGGGGAGGGGCGTGCGCAGTCGCTGGGCTAGATTTTGCAGGCGCGGCCGCTGTCGCTGAGTGCAGGGCGCCTGGCCTGGTCATTGTGATGGTGGTGGAGGTCATTTTGCCGAGCCTGCAATCGGAGCCCTCGCACTTCCTCTGCCCTCAACTGCCAGCCGTCTGACTCTATCCTTGCACTTGCTTCGCATGATACCACCTCCGCCCCACCATCACACAACCCCGCCGCTGCAGGCGGACGCTGTCCGAGCTCAATGCCTCCCACAGCGCGCGCCGCTCCGCCCTGGACCGCGTGAGCACAGAGCTCGCGAGGCTCGAGCGGC